GCGTTTTCGTTTCAAAAAGACTACTTAAGTAAGGTTGTAGAATCAATCATCATGCGACATAGTTCTATAATAATTCAGTTACCTCAGGATGCCGGCTTTCGAACGAACTTCTTTCCAACTGCATGCAGAAACCACACTCTGTAAAAAATGACTGCGTAAGTATCATGAATTTTTCTCATTGATTTTCGAAGACCTTAAAAGTTCAATTATATTTCACGGGAACCATGCATAAAAATATTCATTCTTTTTCTCAGTCGGTAGAAGGCTAGGTCTTCTTTCAATTTTCGCTTACAAAGCTTTTTTCATGGTAGACCATGCAGTTCCATGCATAGGCATGTTCACACTTATTCCGTCTACCGACAAAAGGTCTCCACCAATGTGTCTATCTGGTTTACTCAGCGCTTTCAGTGTACACCCCTCTGCGTGTATTTCTGTTTGAAAGTTTGCAGCATTTTCAATATGGTAGTACAACTAGCGAACGGTATATCGTCGGAAGCAATATACAGTAAGGAGTAGGCCTCATTACGCTTCATACTAAAGTAAGGCATCCTACAGAAACGTTGCACTGGCCCAGGTAGTTTCAGTGGAGAGAGAAATGAATACAGTTTCGAAACCTACGACTTTGAAATAACGTATATAAGAAGTTCAATGTGGTTCTGGCTGTTCGTACAAGAGACTGCGTTCGTGGCTTTGTAAGTGTTCATAAGAACAAAGCCTGTTTGCGGCAAACTCTCGTAGAGTCTCATACTTTATTTCCTCAAACTATCCCACATACTACCATGTTTTGGGTAGGTCCGTTTGCGATTGTTGAAGATAAGTGTCGGACAACCGCCATTGAGTGAAAACCAAATTTCACAAACAGTAGAAATGAATCAGCATTCAACGACTGTGATGGAGGGCAAAGTGAATATTTTAACTTTCAAAACCTGACAATTCATGTAAACCACAGCAATTGCCGCTTGCAGCGGGCAGTTTCAGTTAATTTATGTCTAACAAATAGCGTAGCCAACTGTCAGACCCGTCAAACCACCACCAAAAAAACTAAGACAGTGAAAAGGGACAAATTAATAGACCTAGTGTGACTACCTCGGCAAGTCATGTGAATTTCTTTTTGAAGTTCGGGACATGGTAGACATCGTCGGAAAAGACGGTTGGACTGTGAACGCTTAGATCCTTTTCTGCGTCAGACAACAAGCACATAAATTTTTGGATGAGATTTTAACTATGGGCGGCATAGTTTTTTTGGGATCAACATCTGGAGTCTGATGATAAACATTATTCACTCCGAGACTATATATGTGATTAACGCCCTTCAAATTAGGAGTTAACGTTTGACTCAGGAAGATTCACTACCAAAGTTGAGTCGGCGTGCAGGTTTGAAATTAAAAGGCAAAAACTGTGTACCGTTTGAAGGAAAAGTGCACCACTTTCAAAATTCTGTCTTCATTAACGATGAATTTACATCTAAGAAACATTTGCTATAGCATTTCGAATGCCGACCTAACAACTTCTTTCCAGTACACCGCACAAACTCCACATTTTAGTGACTGAAACAGTTTAATCATTGCAAAAACATTGGGTAAGTGTTAAATACTAAGCTTGGACCATCACAATCAACTCTCTAATTGCAGAGTCGCATGTCCAAACGAGATATTCCAGAGTGTATGCGGACTACATTTACAACCCGTTAAGTGAAATTCGGCGTGGATTTGTGCCAGCTATGATATACTATATTTTCCCCCATAGTGCTGTTTCTATCGGTTGTTTTCGTTGGTGATAGACAACAATTTTGGCAAGCGAGCTGGCCTTTTAGCGGCCTTGATTGTTGAGACCAGGAATCTTGTTTTCGATTGCTTATGAGATTTTTCAAGCGGTTGCATCATCCAATGTCCTATTTTCTTTGGATAGTAAGTAAATGGCCAGCACGAGAGACAGGAATTCACTCCTTGTACCCAACTTTCAGTCTTGTTTTTCTATTTTCGAGGGTCTAACGTTTGCGAGTAATGCTGGTATATGAATATCAGCAGCCCTTCAGTTCTTCGAAATCGTTTGACAACTTCCCTTTTTGGGTAGGATACTTCTCACGGGCTTTTAAGGTTTTTTAAATCAGGATAACTTCATGCGTAGTCTAGGCCTCGTATCAATGACCATGTATTAGCGCTCAACACTTAAAGATTAAACGGCTTGCTGGTACTTCATAACTAAAACATTATTACCCACAAGAGAAATTGAAGCAGCATCTTGCTGTCGAACCTAATGGGAGTTGATTTTGAACAAGTAGATTTCCGGTTTTCTACTCGCCAACGGAAAGATCTATTTTAATTTAGGAGTTGAGTATGAACATTCACAGTCAGGTATCGGATTTACTGATATCTTATGCTAAATTCAGACGTAAAAAGGGACATCTACTGTGTGATGCGCGATGGTTTTTTTTACCGGTACAGGTTTGCGGATATCGGTCAAAGATCGACCAATCAGCATCAGGGTACCGTCTCCCCGTCTGCTTGCTATTCGCCAACACAGCGCCTTAACGTCTATTCGTTACCCATTCATTTGCTGGATATATATTACAAGAAAGCCAGCAGACTCGAGCAAATCCAAAATGTTCTACGATAGCGGATCACAGAAAAGAGGGACAGCAGTTGTAGAAGCGTTATGTTTGATGAGTTCGGCTACCTGCATAGTCATCCTCGTTATCCTGCCTCAGGCTCTCAGCCTCCCAACCGCATCGAACGCAAGCAAACACTTGGAAGAGGCAACCCGACGCATGAATGACTTCTCAGGAGTGAACATAAATAAATCCTCGCCAAGCACTACTCATAAGACGACAAACGGCTTTCCCATCAACTTACCGAAGCATAATGCACTGGACCAATCGGGTCTCGATAAGTCTGGACCGGAGGGTACTCAAGAGGGTATGCATCGTCATACTCCCCATCTCAATCCCAGCGAGACCGGTGTGTACTTATATCGTAGATTCCTTAAAATATGAGCCTGATTTCCTCGTGCACGTCCATTTTACAATTCTGAGGACGTTTCGAGAATTATTTAGCCACATAATTTTAAGACTAGCATTTGTTTATTTTGGCAGAAAAATCCTCAGGGTTCCCTTCGAGCCGGATACGTATTTCTAAAAAAAATTCATAAATCTGTCTGCTACATCAAGCTGCACGCCCTATTCTGAATTTTATTCTTCAGAAAATGTTCGCAGTAACTAGCGTGGAAAATGTTCTGCAGGTAATTAGAGTCCGTCAGTTTAATTAGATATCGCATCGTAAGCACGGTTTTAGATGGTCTATAGTATGAAACAGATATGAATAAGGAAGTGTTTTGTCGATTGGCCGTAGAGGTCATGGGGAGAATATTTACCAGGATAGAGCAAGATGATGAAGGCGGGAGCTCATTAATAGGCAACCACCAGTGACCCAGTACTAATGCAGCAAACGGCAAATTATTACTGACTGGCAGGATGTATGGTTTAATATATGGACTATATCATTAAATAAATACGAACAGTCCTGTTTGTAAAGGTGATGGAGTGACCTTCTCACGATCTCTTCCAAAAAAACAAGAGTTCAAATAGCTATGAAATGAATGCCGACAAAAATACGCAGCTGATATCTTCAAGACGAGCTAGCCAATGCAAGATGACGCGTTGACGACTACCTTAACAAAAGCAATCATTCCATAGGATAAATCTGCACCGGCTAAAAGTCTACCTGGACTCGATATCTGTGGCATTTGCCGGCAGCAAAAACTCGCTTCTAGCGCTCATGAACGCCTGTCTCAGTTGTGCCAATTACGCAGATCGCCGTTCTTCAGTTACCCCCATATTCTACTGCTTTCCCGTAAAAACCTACCCTTCTACTGCACCCCTCATTCGTCATTGCTTATCTTCTACCGCGAGGGCGACATGTGTTCTAGCTGCTTTTTCGTTATCAAGTAGTTACTTCGTGCATGCTAGAGGTCCGAATCTGGATCCAGTCACTAACTGAGCATTTGAATCCATCCACCAAAACACTAATTGATGAAGAGCATCTGGGGACTTGAACTTCATTCTTACAGTTCCCGAATCCACTACCCCTCCTTGTTTAATTATCGTTTTAGAAATAATAGGAGATTAACTCGGGTGCCTCACAAAAAGAGATCCTATACTGGAACACGGTTCTAGGTAATTCCTCGCATTAGTTCCAATCGTACAGTTGCTACTTGTGCTAACAGAGACTAAATCGCCTATTCTACACTACGCACTGCTATTGGCAGATGAAAGTGCACTTAAAAGGTTCGCCAAGAGCCAGTCCAGTAAGTAAGAAGCTCCACGTTTGTATAAACTAAGCAGCATTAGGAATATGCGTGGCGAACTTGATAGTCTTTTGAATACGCTTTTTTGTTATTGACAATTTCTGGGAACCACGAGACCAATAAACGCAAGGTAGGGATAAGATTTATCATTAAAATGTACCACTCTTTGTTTTGTCATCCTCACTTTTTGCTGGTTAACTTAATGCAATTGAAGAGGATAAGTGTTACTTGACAGGGAATTTATGCATTAAGGCAGGCCAAACATAAGTCACCTAACATGTTAGGTAATAAGCCGAATATACAGAAGCGCTTAAAGAAAGAGAGCCTGGTTAATTTACGTTTAGGTCCACGCGTTATTAAGAAAAATGACCCCGGCTTTGTTGTATTGTCTCGGTCGACCCAATAGGGACAGAACTGAACGGGACATCTGATTATTCCCTAACATTTTTGCTACTGGTCGTCACTGAAGGTCTTATGGTTCTGTTGCGATTCACCCTAAATCCTGCCTTAAGAATTACTGGCGTTCAGTACTGTTCCAACACGCCTGTTTCATAAAAAAAGCATATTACACAGTCTTTCAATATTTTTGGAAAGCTTGTGCACCAGTCAACCAACTATTGCCTCATCTTTGAAGTTTTTAGACTGTTATTGATTTTTATCATTTCTTTAAATCCGAGTTTGCCAGGCAAGGGCTCAACATGTCTGCATATCGATTACTGATGCAGTTTATCAAGCAAATTCATAAATGTGAGTCAGCCAAGTTTGAAGTGGCGAAGAATTTTAAAAAGATCACAGCAATTTGAACATGCGTTACAAACAAACTCGAACCCACGAGCAATAGTAAAAATCCATTGGCGGTGACCAGGCAAAGGAACCTTGTCTTCACTTAAAATTGTCGTGTCTGATGACTCAGGCTGGAATCCAATATTAACCTAGCGAATTTTCAAAGCCCCACAGACCGTAAAAATAAAATAGAACATTTAACCTGTCGGTCGCGTTAAATCGCATGTCCTAAAATGCACCTAACAGTAGCAAGGTATGAACAGCGAGAAAAATTGGTGTTCTAAGGGAGTGGTTGAGTTGGTCCTTCGGGGAGGACATTTTGCTCCGCCAGATGTTTTGGATTTAAGTCGCATCCATTACTTAGAGCCGCCAAAGCTTACTGCATTTTAGATATCCCCTCAGATGCTGAAACCGCTGAAGAGTCTACTAAGTCAATTGTCTCTTCCGGCTTCGGGAATTCACAGATTGCGTTTTCTACTGGACAAATACCAGAGTACGTTAATTTAGCGCATTCGTCTTTTTGGCTATTTTGTTAAGTTGCATTTTTGACCTACCTCATCGAAGTGCGCAGGTGCTTAAATGGTGATATTACAATAGACAGAAGTAAAGACAAGATCCAGTCTAGTGTGAAAATGAAGGTTGAATATGAAAGCTTGCTGCACAATCGGGTTTCTTGGGAATTGCTGGGAAATTTGTGGGAAAATGATGCTCCAGAAGAGTCTCAGTTTTTGAATTACTAATGTCTTTAATGAAGAAGGAATTAATCGTATAAATTTAACCGAATTTTTTAAAGATTTAGTTCACTTTCTCAAAAGCTGAGTTCGCTCAACCATTTGGTTTTCAAGAGCTCAGGTGCTTAGAAAGAATATCAAACTCGAAAGAACAGAAGATCATTCTTCCGATGGTCAGAATACGGAGGAAAGCAAACGGAATTTTCTATATCAGCAGAAAAATGTTAGCCAAAATTCTATTTCGACTTGCGATTTTACTGGTGGATAGAACTGAAGTGACTGATGGAATCATCGTTGAATTTGCTTTTTATCTCCAGGGGCTCCCGAAATTGTAGAGACCGACGATGCTGTGGACGGCACACATTCGATTCGATAGAACTCTCAGAAATAAGAATCTCACCAAACACGCTCGTACAAGTACAGCAAGACAAGAGTTTAAAACGTATGAGGGCAGCCTGAATCAGAAAGAGGGAATACATTAATACCAAAGGAAATAGCGTTACGTATACAACCGATTCGTCTGTATTGGAAGGTGTTTTTGACATGTCCATTAGACTATCGGTGGCGAGCAAGCGTTGGGAGCATCCGCAGGGGGTGAGGGTCATAAATATATGCCGACGGTAGAAAGAATGCCAACGACAAGCGAGAGGGGGAGAGAGGTCAGCAGTTGGAGGGAAAGGGACGCTGGCTATCTTCGGCGACACGCAGTCACACCAACCTCATCCTGGTTCCCCGTGGAGGTGTCTTCAGTCCACTTAAACAACTCAGTCAGATTCGTAGTGCGTTAAAAAATTAACATGTAACTAACCTCATCAGTTTCAGCCCACTACTTCATTAAAAAACAGTGAACTATGGAGACAGCTTATCCATGCCAAGGAATGCTTTGGTTGTCGATTTTAGGATACTTGGCGATACTATGCCGGATAGGAAAGAACCGAGTCTGGCTAAGATGTTATCTCAACAGGCAAACTTGCATACGATTTTGGGCTTTGGTATGCGGGAGTTAATAAGGAATGAAATAAAATTCCCTCTTGTACTCACAGGGGACGGAAATTCTGGCGTCATTTAGCGTATCTGGTGCAACCAGGGACAGAATGAAGGGAAGTTTTTTTTGAATGTCTGTGACCAAGCCTGACTTCAGCTCTTACAGTAAGTGACCTAACTCGTGCCCGGCATGTCAACGTGTGACCTTGTAGAAACTTTTATTCCTCTGACGTCTTCATCAGAGACATCAAGCGGAATCCTCTGAGCTTTAAGCAACGGTATCTTTAGTAATACGAAAAGAGGGAAGTTACGTCGATTTCGGCAACAAGATATTGAAGCACATGACCGGACATCGCACGCATGAATTCGTATCAGACTACATGCAACACTAATTTTTAGAGGATATTTAATGAAAACTTAAACGTAAAATAATTTTTTAATGTCACGGTGTCTTTTTCATTCTGTTCAGTCAATTACTTGCATGGGTATGCATTGCATACTTATAAAATTAGGGGTGCACAAATCATGATTTTCCCGCACGTGGTTCATCAACAAACCCTATGATCGCCGCATTCTATTCGACACCAAGGTCCTGTCTTGACAGAATTACTAGTCACGCTAGAACATTATAGGCAAACAATCACTTTCTACACAATTTACAAAACTGCAGACGAAGTCGCGGAGATTAAACACGAGAACGTGGGCAGTCGAAAGGCTGATGCAACAAATGTTAACAGCCGCGACGAATTTGGGAGTTTCTAATGATACTTTTTGCATGGTTGCTCAGCGACGGCAAACCCATTCGCCCTCTTCATCTGTCTGCTGGGATTGAATCTCCGTTCCCTTTTCTGAGGTGTTAAGCAAAGCAACTTGTCAACGGACGGACGACAAGGGGCGTACCCACAGTTACCGGGATAATGAAATGATGGTCCAACTGGGCGATTTTATAAATATATCGGAGATGTATACACCAAATCTCGAGCAGCCACCGGTCCCTACTTACGTAAACACTTCTTTATCCCTTTATCGCAGACCGGACCAATCCCCAGCAACCGAACAGACATCAAATATTCATTTACAGAAAAAGGAACGTCATCATTGGCAACAGCAAGGTGTGCGGAACGAAGAAATGCAGACTTCAGCAGGGGAAAATGTTGATGCTACCATAGACGAATCGAGAAGGCGCAGCAGACGGGCAGCCACTGCCCAGAGGTCGCGACTCTGGCCCTCCGCAGTCATTCCCTACGTAATCCCATCCACATTTTCCAGTGAGTTCTGTAACCATTTGAGTCAGCTGTCTACTCAAGCTAGTGTACTGTGGACTGACTGACGTGTCATTTCAAAGTTAAGAAGCCCAAGCAGTTAGTACGTCCAGTAAATCAGGTGTACAGTGTCTTAGCTATTTTTCAACCAGTTACGGACACGATCTCATTCAGAGATAAGTTGATGCCGAATAAAGGTGTTGGTGGTTGAAAACCGTCCAACATTGGGTTATGCCGGGAAGAGAGAGTGACAAAGAACTGCTAAGCCAGTGAATTTCAACTGATGGTAATGGGCATCTATTGAAATAAAATCCTAATGCGCAAAAACGCCCGTGAACACGACTGCGCGTGCGCTGATGTTCTCCTGAACAGTGCTCTCTCTGTTTCTGTATAGGCCTCTAGTAGCTGAATGACCGGCTATAGCTGGAGGATGGTAAAAACACGTGAGACCAAATGGAGTCCCTCTACATTTTTCCCCTATCTGACAGTTAACTGAGGTCTTTTTGTCTATCTTTAGATTAACGTCGGTGAGCCAGCTGTAAGTTCGGTGACGCAAAGGCACTCTGTTAAAATTAAATAAGGGGTGGACCCACCATCCAGAGTGGTCTGCTTTCATTTGGCCATAGAAGTTTACATAAATGTTTCGGCTGAAATGTATGTACCTAACAGACAAAGAAGTTTCCGAAACTCAGAAAAGAATTTTTTCTCGTCGCCGTAATGAATGCAGCCTGTGGTATCTATAATAAGTGTTTTCCCACTGAAAATCAAATGTTTCCGATTCATTAAAGCCTCGAAATAAATTTTTAGCCTGAAACAGTCGGCCATGTGCAGAAATCAGTATGATAGGTTCTGGGGCCGAAATAACGGAGAGATACCCAATAGTTTCCGGAGTTTTCAAAAAGCACCATCTTGAGCACATTATGAGGCCAGGAGAAAAAATGGGATCTTAACCGATGTGTCCGAATTTCTGTCGATGGTGAGAAAACTTGCTGGTGTTTTCACGACAAAAAAGTTGATTAAGATTAGGAAAACCAACAGCTGAATTATGGAAAAGCGCTATATTGCCATAAAAGTTTCCTCAGTAGATGCAGTAGGTGCACTTCGCAATATATTATGTAGACTAGATCTATACTACCATTAGAACTGCAAATTTATACGGGAAGAAAATTGGTTAAGAAAATCTGATGCACCTAGTTGGATGTAATGACACATAGCTAAGTGTATTTGGTGCCCATAAAGCAGCTTGAAGAGTTATAAAAGTGTGTGACGTTTGCAGTTCACATCTCAGTTTTCGAATTTCTTTCCTTCCACGTGAAACTGTGTTATATTCCTGCATGAAATGTGAATGCCATTTCGAACCTGTTTTAGCCTTGCCGGTTTTACAAACCCCCTTAACTAACAACTACTATTTATAATACGATAAATTGCCAAAAACAGTAGTCTAAAATTCAAAGGCAAAACGGGACGCCATTATTCTTGGCGGCAGTCATCATAGATCTTGACCGCCGAGCACGTGCATTTTGACAGAACATTAACGTTTATTCAGCCCTAGTGCTTAGCGTCTGAATTTTCAGTAGCCATGATGTTTAAAAAATAGTCTGTTTGTAGATTTGTGCGCGTCGCGTAAACACTCCATTCCTTGCGCAAAGAGCGATGGGTTTTGAAACTCCAACAGATTATTTGTGATGCTTTATTAAGAATATTGCCTAGAGTTGTTTCAAGATACTTCACCGCTATTATCGGAAAGCGAATAAAGAGGATGAGTAACTGCGTAGTGACATGCTTGTTTGAAGGCTCTCTGTTCTCAATGGGAGATTCCTTTCGCAGCAGTAGCTGTCAGCGTCGGTAGAACTTCATTTTTCGACAAAGTGTTCGCCACCCTTTTTGTTTAGAATGTAATGAACACAAGTGATTTTCCCTTTGCATTGGGTAGTTCCCTGCTCGTACACGACTTACTACAGCGAAAAGTGTTTGCAGGTATGACGCTGTCGATTAAATGTGGTAGCGTGGCATAAAGAGCACTAAGGCCGACAGTCCAACCGTCGATTCTGACGAGATCCACCATATTTCTCACAGCAATGTGGACGCAGGGACGGTGATTTAGGCGTGATTCCTTTTAGAGGGATAGTAGGCTTGCGCTCTACCTACCGCACCTCCTCTTCCTCTTCCTCCTCCTCCTCCTCCTCCTCCTCCTCCTCCTCCTCCTCTGCCATCTAGGCACGATGTCATGACAAAGAGAAGGAAACCGGAGGCGGAAGAGGCTGCAAGTGGCCGGCGCGGAGGGATCCGCTAATCAGGCGTTCTACTACATCTACTCGGGTATCACTGAGTAGGAGTGTCACGCAGGCCACTCTAGGAGGGAGCGGTTGCAGCCTGACTCTTAGCCCTTAAGTCAGCCACTCAACGCAAACACTCCGGGCCAACTACGAGGCTAAAATTGTAACATCAGTTGGCAATCTTCCGAGCCACGGCTTCTCCTTCAGCGTGATAGATTCAAACGTGTTATATTATTAATAGGGAGGAATATGCGCTGAAAGTCGATCATTCTTCCCACTCCCAGGCACCATTCCACTGCCCGAACCGGCCAGTCAGCTGATGGGGGGATTCAGCGCAGTGGCTGACAGAGTTAGAGAGCTCGCCTGCGCATGCCACGTACAAGACCTGTCCCCCATACAAAAAAGTATTTCATACAAGAGGCGTTGGCTACTGGGATCTCACATGTAACAAGGGAGCCACATGGAGAGGGAGCCGAAGAACACACTTTCCACTCAGGTGTGTGACGCCTTGTCCATTCTCGTTGTCTGTGATATCAGACATGTTCATGCGTGGTGCGTGTATTTATGGGGAAATGTATGGAGATGTGGTTTATTCTACAATGGATTGCCGCATCTTTACATAGAGGTGTATGTGACCAGGTAGGCCCATCCGGAGGCTGATTGTGCATGGACAATCTAGGCAGTCGAGGCAACGGTGGCAGGTGTATGTCGGTTCCACAAAAACTGGTTCGCCAGTCTCTGTGCGATGGAATCTCGAGCGGCCCCCACGCAAATGCGGGGCGTGCATGTGCGGTAGCAGTGTTGGCAGGATAGCCTAGAGGATAATGAGTTGATTGGCGTTGTTGTGCTGCTGGTGGTGGCCGCGTTAGTGGATGGAAAGTCGGTAGGGTTGGGGAGGGAAGAGTTATTCGGCTTGCAAGGTATGCTTGTGAGTCGGTATTGCGGGGAATTCCACTACGTGGATTTGCATGTGATTAAATAGGCCCATGCAATGCAACGCGTGTATGTGGGAGCTCGTGTCACTGGGACGCCGGCGCATTGCGATGGATTTGTGAGGGGCTGACCAGACCGATGTGCGATCTCAGTGAGGACAGGTTGGGACCGAGTCCACGTCGTTGGTGGTAGGGATGGTAGTAGTGAGGGCAGTGGTCGACGAGGTGTCGGGAGTGTTCTCACCTCTGGCGATAGTGAGAGAACTGGCCAAAAATAATTAGCCACTCGGGGAGCTCGCAGGCCGGTGAGTCAGATGGCCAAGCAATCATCACGCCAGCATCCAACATGGGTGGTGAGATTTCAGCTTGCTGGCCATCAAACAATTATCGCACCAGCGGGCAAGAATTCTCAAAGAAGGGGAGAACGATTAATTATCATAGGTATGTAGTAGCACAGCGACTGCATCCTGTAAATACTGAAATTTCCTAGTCACGAATCACCCGTTCCTGTCATCATCGCTGATGATGGGCCCGAGCAAAACCCGAAACCTCAGACGAATAAAACTCTTGTTCCAGCGATCGTTTCTACTGCTTCTCAGAGCCGGTAGTCGTCGCTATCGTTACGGGGGTTGTGGCAGGAACGATGGAGGCGCAGGGATGATGGATGTGGCAGTGGTCGATTTGGCGGTGCACCGCGACTTCGTTCATGGATGGTGAGGGAGGTCGTCATCGTGGACGCCGTTGGGATTGATGCAGGTGTGACGAAGGGAGCGGCTGTGGAGGCGGCAGGTGTAGTTGTTTGTTTATTGATATACTGGGTCTGGAGATGCCCGACGAGGCCGATACACGGACAGGATGTTCGTTGACAGGGTGAGCATGCTGGAGGGGGTTGAGTGTTAACCTTATGGATCTGAGGGGCTTAAGGCAGGCGAGCCCCTTGTAAAGCGAAGATGGCGGCTCTCGGTTGGTTTCATAGATTACTGCCCCAGTCTTCACTACTCTTTTCGAGATCGCTCAGTCCTGAACGAGGTCTTTCTAAGTTTCCGGGTTGATTTGAAATCTCCTGAGTGAGTTCTTTAGCGTGTCTGCAGTGTCTTCTTTGTCCTCTTTGCATGCAAACAACCGTAACGACATCATCGTAGTTTGCTCAGTCAATCAAAGTCTATCCGCATGCAATGGCCTCCCCATCACAATTGCAGTTCCCTCAGTAGGTATGGATGAATAGGATTTCGGCCTATTCCAAGACTTCCGTGTCAGGGATCCAATCCTGTCACCTTAGCATTCAATCCACAGGACATCTTACGTGGAGAGGCCTGAGGTTCCTTAGTTGATTAATACAGACTTACCAGGTATCCATTCAATATAGTAGCGTAATAAAGATGATTGCTCTGCACATAATGAGATCAGTATTGAGACGAAGACCGCGAAGACACCATACTGAGTCTTGCAGTCCGCCTAGGACTTAGCTGGCTTTCGAAGTCCGGTAAGTCCCTGCGTCGTTGATTTTGGTACTTTGCGAGAGTGTGCTGCCTAAATAGGCAAAGTTGTTCACAGTCTTAAGTTGGGTGCCGTTGATGTTGATGCGAGAAACACTGAATGCAGCTTTGGGCGGCTGATGCGTGACCGCCGTTTTGTCCGTGTCGATGGTCAGTCTGAATTTGGCGCTGCCAGAGGCGAAGATGTACATAATTCGTTGCATGTCTACTTCTGTTGCGATTTTGAGCGCGCAATCGTCGGCAAAGGGCAAATCGTGGACATTAGTTGTCAATAAACGCATCGAGGAATGTATGCACCGGCTACTGACAAGTTGGCCGTCGGTCCTTTAAGCGATGCAAATCTCTGGGCGTTAACCCGGTAGGTCTCCGTCAGCGTGCCAGAGAACATGAAGCCAATGAGGATGGTAGCGAGTGCGCAGCCATGCCTCACTCCGTTGGCTACCTAGAATGTTCCTGAGACGGTCCGGTTTTTCGTGACGGACGTCATCATCTCGTCGCGAAACCGAGGCGTGAGCCGGTCAGGACAGTCGAATTGTTGCACGATTTCCAAGAGTTCACAGTAATTCGCCATACTGAAGGCTTTCGTTAGGCCCCTGAAGGTAGTGTAGAGGTGGGTTCACATTTCCTGTCATTACTCTTGCGGATGGCGGATGGGAAGGATAATCTCGGTGGTTCCGTGGTGTCGTCGAAAGCCACTGCAGATGTTTCCCTTCTAGATAACTGTTGAGACGGTTAAGGAGGGTGCGAGCGAAGACCATCCCGGCAATTTTAGTGGTAAGATACCTCTTTAGTTATCACACAGTTGCTGGTCCCCCTTTTGATTGCAGACATATACGGTTGTCGCTTCCTTTAACTCACGAGGAATGTGTCCTGGGCGTCACATCTGGAATATTGTTGTAAGTTTGTCCATCAGTCGGGGACGCCGTGCTTGTAAACTTCGACCGGGATATCTATATTAATATGTATATGTTAACCAGCTAATCTTTCAAATGATCACTGGGACTGCGAGCCTACCAGACTGTGTATTATGGGTACACATAATCAGTTAGATATTGACACTGTTTCCTGTAGTACGGATTGTTAATATTCCTTTGTTAGTGTTTTTATAACATCAAAAATATCAGGGATACCAGTTAGAGGAATTTCATAAATAGTTATTGTATCGGTCCATGCAACAGAATTTAATACGTTGTATACATCTAAAAGCAGAGGCCAATACCTGGTCGTTAACAGAGGAACTGTGGCAGATTGCGCATTTAATGCTCGGAAAGGTTTGTACTAGGACAATTATATGATGACTCTGGTATACTCTGTGAATATTTTCTTAAAAGGCTAATTTAGATGGTAGTAATTTTTTAGCGCAGGCTGTAAAAACAGTGAACGCCCACCTTCACAAGTCATATGCCGCAAGAAGAAATCTTAAGCAATAGCCTCTTGACTTACTGCAAATGTTTGAACAACTTTAAAAGTTTTATGGATTACCAGAACTGTAAAAACACTAGATCGCGGTCAGTAAGCGGGCTCGCTGTCTGTTTTAATAAAATCATTCCAAATTATTAGAGTATACGGATTTCTTTTGTCCCACATGCTATCACAAATGATTTTCCATACAACTATTTTATAAGGTATGTTTTTCAGTTTCTAATCCCCATCCCATACTTACATTAAGACAAGGCGATGAAGAACATGGTGAGCGCAATGAGGAAGTGGGAAAGCAACACATGCCTCAGTTTTGTCGAGCGAGAACCACATCATCAGTCCTATCTCTTCTTCACGGTCTTGCCTTGTGGGTAGGTTTCTTTCAACGTAAATAACTGATTGACAAGAAGGAAATGAGAGTTAATAATAATAATGTATTTTAGGGTAATAGGCAATGCCCTTGATAACCCTATTGAAAACGGTACATAAAATATAAATGTTAAATGTACATCTTACTAAATTTTGTCAGTAACATATTTGTTCACGGAAACATTTTTCACGATGCGGGACTGCGTAGGATGCGGCAGGCGGCCTTCTCAGTGTACATATGAAATTTTAAGTGCGGTTATATACAATCAGCATAAAGTGCAGTCATTTGCATAGTTTGAGAGGAGACATTTCATTAAAAGTCAGGGATGTGTTGAGTAGGGATGAAATCAAGAAGTGAAATCTATGGCTGGCCGCAGATAGTCCTGTTGTGAAAGTCGTCGTTTATCAAAGATCAAACGATCCAGCTGCCTTTTGAATACAGCGATTGTATTAGATGTCACTATTTCACTTGGGAGTGAGTTCCACGGTCGAAAAACACGCTGGCTGAAGGAAAACTTCCGATTGTCTAGGCGTGTACGCTCCCACTTGACTTTGTACGAGTGACCGCGCAGGTGACTCGTGGTCGTGAATTCAAAAAAGTCGTCAGTTTTGAACGAACATTCATGCCCGTCGATAAGGCGGAATGTCCATAACAGGTCACACCTTATTCGTCTATAGGATAGGGGAACTAATTTAACTGGATCAGTCTTTCTGGTTATGACAGAGTCCTGAGACCGTCCATCAGTTTTGTGGCCCGTCGTTGCACCTGCTCTATGGCATCACTGTCTTTCTTTATCCAGGGCATCCATGATGGCATTCCGTATTCCAAGTGCGGTCTGACGAACGTGCCGAATATCTGTGAGAAGAGTTCTGGAGGAAAGATTTTGAAGGCACGCCTAATCTAGTGCGTGATGCTGGTTGTCTTTTGGACGACTCTTTTGCAGTGCTGAGAGGGCAGCAAGTTTGAGCATGTCCAGACACCTAGGTCTTTGTGCGTGTCCACGTCTTTTAGTGGAACCCCATTTATGGTGCACTGATCTTTTGGGAAGCGCCTCCGACCAGATTCCAGTCGCAAGACTACACATTTAGATACGTTAAACGCTAGAAGCCACTTGCTGGACCACGCAGCCAGCTTATTAACATCTTCCTGTAGCTTTTGCGCATCTTCAACGCAGCTGATTGTTTTCCAGATCTTTATATCATCCGCAAACATGATGCCATCGCATTCAAGGTCTGCAGGACAGTCATTTATATAAATGAGGAAGAGGAGAGGACCCAAGACTGAGTCCCCGCTTTTTACTGGCATCCATTCGGATGTAGTGGCACCAACGATGACTTTTTGGAGCCTGCATGACAGGAAACGTTTAATCCAATTAAAAACGCTGCCCTCTATTCCATACTCCAAATCTTCTGTAGGAGTCGTCCATGAGGAACGCTATCAAACGCCTTCTTAAAGTCAAAGAAGATGACGCCCACTGGACGGCCCTGGTCTATGGCTCTTGTCCACTTTTCCTGAGAGTAAAGACTGCTTGTAAGACAGGAGTGACCACGACGAAATCCGTGCTGTGCAGCATATAACAGGTCCCTCTGCTCCAGATACGACATTAAATGCCCTTTAATAAGTCGCTCCATTACCTTGCATAGAATGCAGGCTAAATTAATAGGACGGTAGTTTTCGGGTTCCAGCCTGGATCCACCTTTATAGATTGGAGAAATATAGGCCGTTTTCCACTCCTTCTGCAGTTCGCCTTCGTCCATGGGCTTCCGAAATATCATGGACATTCAGAGAAGTCCTTATTGTCATATAGGCTATCTTTGTAGTTAACCAATCCTTATCAAATGTTGCCATCTCAGCTTTTTGCTCATCGATTGCAGTTGACTTACCAGCATTTCTTGAAAACATGACCTGGTTTTTGCCAGATAAAGTTCTAAAACTCTGCTTCATCATGCTAGTCAGAATCAAAGAGAGACTTTAAACCAATCAGGTGGGACTAAAACCAGTAGCTGAGCTTGACGCTTATGCATACACAGAACTTTGCAAGCTATCAGAGACAGATAAACGAAACCTCTTTCACTGCCCTCATAATCATCATATATGTCGTTTTATAACCCCGAGGCAGTAAGAAGTATTTATATTAAGGGTTGCAAAAGGGTATGCCCTAGTGACATAGAGTTACATTGGCGTCAAAGTTTATCTTAGAAAAGCCGATGCTTCCGGGTCAGTAGTTGTATTTAGATTTTAATATATCGCAACAAGCTGATTCGCCGCATGCGTTACAGTGGCCGCAACGCGTTTGAAAACGTAAATTTTCTCTAGCAGTTGTTTATCCTTCGAATGCCTACCCGATTTCAGGTAGAAAATTGGCATATGAGCAGAGGACAACATGATCTAATATATGCATTTGTAATTGTCTTAGATGTTGTTCGTCTGTGGGACGTAAGAGCACGTCTGGTCCACAGAATGTTTCCATCGCCAGCGGTTGCGAATCAGAAGGAACCATCATGCACGAACTTGGTCATGCCATCGGATTTTGGCACGAACATTCTCGACCTGATCGGGACGGTGAGTTCACTTTTTGAAAGAGACAGTGAACAGGTGATGACCAAAATAACAAAATGTGTTATGATGCTGCACTTTTTAATTTTGATGTTTGTGCTTCAATAAATACTTCCAAAATATTCCTAATCTTTGAATTTGCTTTTCGAGGGCTTTCGATCTTTTAAGCATTTGCTGACTGTCATGTTTGATTAATTACAGCTGGAGTCATGCTGAAAGTTACGGTGAATAATCTTATGTGTAGATGAATGTTAACTGACAGCTGATGTTCAGCCAACATCACTGCATAATTCTTAACTTATTATCTATGAAATTGGACTGCTGTTTGGGAGTATTTACCTGAGGTTGTCCAAAACCAATTCAGCAAATATTTTCCTTTTATTTTTATGCTAGCACATGTGGAAGTCATTGAGGAAAACATTATACCCGAGGATAAATACAATTTTGAAATGCTGACTCCAACCGATGTGAATTCTCTTGGTGAACCCTATGACTACAATTCAATAATGCACTATGGCAGGCGAAATTTCGCTATACCTGGTAAGGCGGAAACCCTAAGACCTAGGAGAGACGGTCCAAACATTCAAATTGGTAATCGAGTTCGCCTCAGCGACAGTGACGTTAGACAGACGAACTTGCTCTACGGCTGTCCTCGTAAGTGTATCTTGATCAATCATTCCTAATTTCGAGTCTCCTAGTGCATATTCCACTCGTTATGGAATGGATTTGATGCCATTCAAAGCCTTCTTTCGACCTTCTACGATTGCCTTCGCCTACTTTATCCGAACCTAACAAACACGTGTATCTTCACCTAGTGCTGGGGCTAACACCGGCAAATGCTTTCGTTTACTGGATTTGCTTAAGTAACTTCACGATCTTCAAAGTAGAAGCACCATATAATGGTCTGGTATAGTATTGCGTGACAAAACAACTGGCTCATAACTGAACCTTACCAAATGACGTTGCGATCTTTAGAGGATCATAAAAACCCCGAAGTTTTCCTACATTCATCATCGCTGAACGTGACAGCTATAGCCAACACTCCAACACTTCAAGGAAAAGTATAACAGGCAGATGAGCTGATTTATTTTCGCAGGTCCAGTTTTCTGGTCTACTATACTTAAAATGTTGATCACGGAATCGTTGGGCATCTGCTTCTCACCCTCCAAGAGGTGGGCCGATCTGCGGTCAGCCAGGTCGTTGAAGCCGCAGTTTGCAGCTCAGATGTACGGTTTTAATAGCAACCTTAAAAAAGAAGGAAAAAGTAGACGGCCTTCATTGTTCGAAAGTTGCTTACCTCTACTGCTTACTACGTTCTCGGTCCGTTAACAATCTGCCTGTGATATATTCCTTTTGACTCTGCGTGGCAACCCGCCGGGTGCTCGGGTGAGGACGAAGATATGAATCTTTGGCAGTAAAACCGATTTTAAAACGATAAACTAACCGTTCTGTAGTCGTGAATTTAAATCGAACCTCTACGTAACGATCGTCGACCAAGCTCTGGAAATTGTTGAAGGTTATGCTGTGATCGACAGCATAAGCAGTTTCAGTTGACTAACCCCCTGATTCCTGCACTGGGAGCTGACAGCCTGTGAGACGGATAATCACAGAGGCCCACGGCTTTATGCCTAAATGTCTAATTATTGTAAAAAACCAATTTGCGTTCATGTCGGTTCACTACGTACCCTGGCACACTTATCCGGAGGGAGTGAAAAGTTAAAGACAAACCTGCTGTACTACTGAACTCTTGCGAATATCACTTGCTTGTTTTAATTTTAAGTGTATCTAAGATTTGAAGGGTCGTTTATCAGTACTCGTCTCGAAATATGCAAGCGAAGACTAGATCGTGTTGCTGGACGTGAACGTTCTGACTGTGTGCGTTATGAGTTTCCATTGCTTGCATCGAGACGATGACACGGGCCTTAATTTTACACTTTCACTATCCATCTTCTGCGTCAACAAAATTTGGCTCGCGGTCATGGAGACAAGAAATTAAAAACTAAATTGCGTTTTCGTTGTTAGTTAACAGTAAGAAAATATAGCACATTGACACGGAAGGCTGAGAAGTTTTGGCCGCTGAGCTGATGAGAGACGGTGACATGAGTTGGAGGGCTCGGTAGCATGACCACGTTCTAAGACGAACATTTTCTAAATAGATGAGGCCCGTAGTTTTACTGCCTGCACTGAGAAATAGCATATTTCCGTTAACTGGAAGCTGAATTATCTGGCTTTCTGGCCATAAGAATGGTGCAGTTAGTGACCGATTCCAAGAAGTGTCGACAAAATCGTGAAAGGTGTATTCGATTTAAAAGGATGACTTGAGTGTTGGTCGTAATATTGATTACTTTACGGTATAATGTCCCAATATCTAGGTCTGCTATGATTTTGGCTTTTAAATGTACATTTTGTAATCAACAGAGACCGCACACTCTAAAAATGACTGCTTAATTATTATACACTATATTTATATCGATTTTCGATGACTTTAAATTCAAAAACATTTAATCGAAAGCATAGGTAAAAATATTCTTTCTTGTGTCCATTTAGTAAGAAATCATGTGTTCTTTAATTTTTATACTCAAAGAAAGGATATAATTGAATTTTAAACTGTCCTCCAATTTCAGAATGATTTTGCCTGATCTGCCGTTGCATTTGCGTTAAGGGTTTCAGCCTAATGACCTTATACTTTCCGCGTAATGAAAAACATTCATTCCCCCATTCTAGTAAACAGACATTATATAGGACTCGTAAAATTTTGCAATGGATTTGGACTATGTTGTATACTTCATGAGGGGCATTACTGAGCAGATAGAAAAGATGCTGTTTGTATGAAGATTGCGCAGCCCGAAATGCCCATAACTTGAAACGTTTTTTAAATCGAAAAGAACTTTCTTTGAGAACAAAACTTAAAAAGGACGTACTGTGGTACTAAATAAGTACGGGACTATTTTTACGTCTTGTTTTTAAAAGTGCATTCCAATTTAGAAAGGCATCGGAAATCAATAAAAAAATGCTTACTGCTTAAGTAGTCTGTTCCTACCCAGCGCGGTTATTGCAAACGCCGAAATGCAATGCATTTAAATATAAAACCTTGGCATGTCTGGAATATTGCGGCTTTATGTCGCAAGGTAATCAATATTACAACTCCATTTAAGCAGTCCTTCCTAATAGAAAACTCATTTCGCACTTTCTGTCAGCATCTCATGGAGAGGCCACTGGCCGTACGTTTGAACCGTTTGTTGGAACGAAACGGAACAAATGAAAGACTTGTTTCATGTCTTGATCACAAGGCTGTGTGCTGAGCTATTTTCATTTAATTATCTTCCGTACTTAACTATGTTCTCGTAGAGTGTATGTAAGAAGCGTATACAAGGTATGCAGAGTGGCAACACTTTATTTAGGACTGTTTAATGTGTCTTGGCCTTCATATTTGACGTCACGTTAGGATTTCAATCCCCCAGTTTAATATCTTTATCTGGATAATCACATCAGCCTGTGGACGAACACTTCTCGAGCCTTCCGACACATTCGAGTCTCCGGAAAGGCGGTTATATCTAAAGCGTAGGAGCGTTGATCTTCCGGACGCCCCTTCCCTCAGAAATTTCCCATCCGCGACTACAACTCAGGGCGACAGTCACAATTTTAACTTAGCAGATCTCGAGGCGTGTGAGTGGCGAATCGTAGCGGAAAGTGGGGAACGAATATTCCTGACTTTCACGAGGATGGACGTGTTCTCGCCTGCCAATCCCCGTCTGTCTAGAGGTCAACAGCACACCGTTAAAAATGGTTCCTCCCCCTGCACAGAGGATTACGTTGATGTTCGTGATGGATATTACTCCGGATCGCCTCTCATAGGTACGAGAAAAGGGTCTGTTGACATATTAGCCCATTTTTATGTTATTTTGCAAAGTATTCACCGATTTCGTCTGTAATAAGGATGGTAACAATCGGGAGAGGACACCCAGAAAATACTGCCGGCCAAAGCAGCGATCTTATCGCAACTGTCCTAAACTATGCAGCCATTGACTGAGCCGCACGCTGGCGACTGCGGTAGCTCCTGACCTCTGGAAGTAATGGTAAAAATTGATAATCCAAGTGCTCGGTCAACGGCGATCGCATTGCGATTCTCCGTAGGTAAGCTCCTATAGAATAATCTGCATAGGCACTACTGCGGTCGCTTGTCAGCAGTGGAAGCTTATATTAAGGTTGTGTAACGTAGGGTGGGTCTACAGCGATCGTTTTGCAACTGTCCAAAGGGTATGGTCCCATAGATTGAGCCGCATGTCTACAACTGCGGTCATTCCTCAACTAAGGAAGAAATGGCCATAATGGATAGGCCAAAGGGCTGGTCCACAGCGATCGTATCGCAAGTGTTTGAACGTATGCTACCATAGATTAAGCCGCATATCGACTACTGCGCTCGCTCTTCAGCTGTGGAAGCTAATGTCAAGGTTGGTAAACATAGGATTGGTCTAAAGCGATCATTACCCAACTTTCCTAAACTATGCTGCTCTAAAGTAAGCCGCAAACGGACTAATGTCGTCGCTCGTGACCCAAGCAAGCATATGTGAAGGATGGCGAACCAATGGTCGGTCTACAGCGCTCGTTTCTCCACTCTCCCAAGGTATGCAAGGATAGATTTAGCCGCAAACCCACTATTGCTGTCACTCTTCAGCCGTGTAAGCCTAGGTCAAGGTTGATTAACCATTGCTCGGTCTGCAGCGGTCGCATCTCAACTGTTGGAGACTATGATAGTCTAAGTGAGGCAACATGTGCACTGCAGATCAGATAAAATTGAGGTCGGATGAAACAAGAAATATGCAGGGCCATAACCTACTCAAATAGGTATAGCTGGTATTATTCCTAGGCAACGGATATTTGGGTGCCCTCTCCCGATTGTTACCATAAGCATTTTCGAAAATGCTCGTCCCAATAAGAATTATCGAAAAAAAGGCGTCTGTCTTAGTTAATCACGTGTGCATTAGAGGATTACTACTCAGGTCCACTTTGAGATTAACAGTGCTAATCAATGTTAAATAATCCTGTAAAATTATACTTAAGATATTGGTTATATGGCGGACGTAGTGAAGGTTATAGGAGCCTACCGCCAGTTTCGTAGTTTGGGATCTGAAGGACTTCGCAAGTGGATGTGAGCAATTTGATATACATTTGCCATTTAAAACACCACGAGCACATGTTGCTTACGTTATACACAGGCCGCACGTCTAGTAGACTAGGTATGTGGGCCGGGTTCTAGGTTTTTGCCCAATTTAAGGCCGCTCAAACAGAAGAAAACGGATGGTTGGCTTCTGCGTTCTTTCATTTGCAAATGACGACCGAGTAATGAAGGGTAGCGTCGAAGAATTTACTCGTGAGTTTTACTTGCAAAAAATCTAGTTCCAAAGGGGTGCTGAGACGAATGAGGTCTGACCGCTGGAGTTTGAAGCCAACAGCGACAGACGAGGCATGCTGTATGTGGTAGAAACTTGTGTTCAGCGATTATTCGCAGTCTATGGATCACCGAAAATTCCGCTTTTTCATTTTATGAAGTAAATAAACAGTATGCGTAAACAGATCCTCTCGTCTTACCTCATTTTATTATGATATTACTGTCAAGTATTTTTACAGGAGAACGACTTATAGCAAAATTTATACAACCCATAGTATATTGGTTATGTCGTTCTTCGGAAGTAACATACTTTAGAAGAGTATGGATCTAATGCAAACTGAAACACGAGGACAACGATGCCAACGAGGCAAATTGTTAAGTTTTTCTATGTTAAGTTCTTGAAGATCATATCATATCATCATTCATCGGTATCGTCAGACCCTTAACATCTTATATTATGGCGAAGCATAGTTGGCTTTAAATATAAGTAAAACCGTGAATCATGTATCACTACCTTGTTAAAACAGAAAAACGTACAGATGTAACCTTCTACGTGACTACTCAACCTTATGCTACAGACGACTCTTTGCTGTGCTCACTTACTGTACTAAGTAAGATATTTTGTCATTCCGTATGTTGCGTGGAAAAATCATCAGAAGTGAATGCATCTTTTGTATCATTGCAAGAAATTCTGGCAATTCCCACGAGGTTAATATTCTTGCTCATAATTTTTTTGTTTCATAACTTATGGCTTACAAACCTATATGGGAATTTGGTTAAATATCATAAAAAGCAACACAGTTCGTTATTATGTGCTCTTGGAACTATACCACACACAGTCACAACCACTTACACCGTTTGTTGAGGTGTCAGTTATTTGCCTCAGATACGTACCGACCTTAATCTGAAGGTCAGTCACTCCCTAAGAAAGCAGTCTGAGATATTATTAGGAATGACAGAGAAATACGGTTACAGTTCTGCCGTTTGCGACGTAGACGTCCTCCAGTGCTATCTTCGAGTATTTTAAAACATAGTTTAACCTGTCAGATGTTTTAGTAAATATTAGTCTCTGATATTCTTTGTACTTTTCCCAAGTTAAAGAAATCCCTTTTTATAAGTACTTCCGATTTTCTGCCCAGCAGTTTATTGTTACAATTTTGTTTGCTCACTAGTCGACTCTGTTCGATTCTTGCCGTTAACGTGATACTTAGCAGCATGGGCAAAAAGTTCGTTGTACATATTTATCTTCACGTTGGCAAATAAAGTGCTTATTATCTCAAGGACAACAACACATAACGATATCCAGCCTACGGGCAATGTCATTTCAGTTCTAACCAGATCTTTGTGATGTTCAGGTCGTTACTGTGGAAAACAGCTTCCAAAGACGTTGGTATCATCACAATCAAGAATGTGGATCAGATATAGGCGTTCAGTGGGATCATCGGATACTGGATTTGCCGCCAAATACCGAGGTGAAACAAACTAATCCAGATTACCTTAAAGCTTTCAAAAGGCAGTAGATTGCGATGACATGTTATCTGAGTTTTTGGAAAATGCACACCTAAAATGTTTTCTCGCAATTGTTCGGAAATATTTACGAGAGGGCTTCCATTTTAGCCTCAGTGTCTAATTTAACTATGATATTTCACCAGCGTTATTAAGTATTTTTATTCTAATAAATAATAAATGGAGAATAAGTCCAGCTTATTGCTGATAGAAGCAAAAAGGCGAGTTTCAGGAAGCAGTCGCAAAGAAGGAGACACGATCGCTGGAACGAGAGCTTTACTAGCTTAACGTTTCAAACCCTCACTCGAATCCATCATCAGAGGCCAAGTCGGATAAGAGTGGTAAGTTACCCAGGTGTCGCAGTATTTATTGGATGTAGTTGCTATGCCGTTACACGCGGCTCATTCGACGAGACCCAACCACACATTCAAGTTTGACGGAGCGGAAATTCTTGCTAGAAGTGACAACCTCGTGGGTCGCGAACTGCTCGAGTCCTGGATTGACGGTCCTTCATCAGCCAACAAGCACAACGACTTCTCCGCTCCATATTCGTGCTGAGACTTTGTCTAGACAAAGTACTTGGCCGCGAGGAGAGCGTGCAGATGACCACTGTTCCTGGCGAGCCAAATTGTCCAAAAGTCCGCACGGAGGACGAAATCCGACAGTAAGCAACTCGACCGCGTGCGATGAGCGTGGAAGTCGATAATCTTGACCGACACACAAGGGCATAGTAACTGCATACTTCAAGAACTGGCTAGTCGAGTCGTGCTGCACTCGGGAGCTGCCAACTGTGATAGGCATGTAACGGCCTGGCAATTATATCCTATGAATACCGCAACACGTAGGCAACTTACCACCCTTATCTAACTCTGTCTCGGATGATGGATTCGAGTGAGGATCCGAAACGTCAAGCCAATAAAGCTCTTGTTACAGCGATCGCGTCTCTACCTCGGTTTAACTTATTCTTCCAAACCACTCTTTCCAATTGCAATTTCCACTGTACTAAATTTAGTCTTTGCCAACAGATGGGGTAGGCGTCCACCTCTAGTGGATAAGATACAAACTGACTCGTCATGCACCAATATGATGTAAAGGAGCCTACAGTTCACGAGAAGTGGCAGCGGTTAAAGCAATTTCCCTAAGGTTGTTCAATGGTAACTGAAGCATTCGCAAACTTCCAAAAACCTTCCAACAGCGTCTTTGCTGCGTTGCAATCTTAGACATTATAAGGTAAGCCGAGGAGACGGAGAGGAAAACGCGTCTGCCCCCAACGAAACCAACAATTATTATGGAAAATAGTCCGAATAAACACTTTCACTTGCGCACGCTGGTAACCAATGCCGTAATCTCCATTTTAACTTGAAATGACAGACGTAAGGTCCTGTTGCAAAATTATTTTTTATTTTTGTATAACAGAGCGACTTCACATGATCTGCAGTTTTAAGCATTAGGTAGCCCTTATCTCTAAACCTGAAAATAAGAGTTTACCGAAGTTCGAACTGTATCCTCTGACTCAAATGCCTAGGTAGAGGCTTGCAGGGGACAAACAAATATGCTCCCAACGGTCGTTACGTCAGAATGGAAAACGACTATGATTCTACACCCGCTGAGCTTGAAAGTATAACGGGGATCTATAAATTTAGCGTCAAATGCATCCGCACTCGAAAATGAATGACGCCAGGCTGGGAACCTATCAGTCACCAGACAGCGGGTTATGTAGAGGTCCGTATCAGGTTTTGTGTTTTCGTGCCTCTTGAGTATTAATGCGAGCCGTCGTGCAAACTAAGCTTTCAAGTGGATGATCTGGCCTTTCCTTCCTGCCTACATACCTGGAGTCAATGTACTCATATATTTCCAAAACAGGTAAACGTTTGGTAAACCACCAAACTTCATGCATACGCTGACTATTTTAACATAGGGACGAACGAAAGGAACTCGTAAACGTCTTTTAAGACGAAATTGTATCAACTTCAATTGTCTCCCTACCGACCCTTTCGCAAGCATCAAAATTTTCCAAAGGAATCCGCCCAATATGTCTTTGATATTTGACTAGGTACCGTTCGTCAGAGGAAGATGATACAGAATATATAAGTAAATAACCTTATTGAACGCATTTGGGTAGGAGACAACTTGTGCTATCTTATATGTTCCTTCGGAAAAAAACTATGAATAGACTAAGTACTTTAGTAACATCATATATTTTTTGACGGACATGCAGAGTTAAAGACCCCATCTAACTGAACTTATTATGGGTAAACACTATACTTTCAGAGGTGTGTATACCGTTTTTTCTTAATCAGCCATTTGCGGTGGTGAAATACATAAAGAACGTGGCGCAATCTACAGCCCTAATTATCCGGATCCTTACAAACAAAACAAAGAATGCATCTGGAAGATTGTCGTTCCCCTGCGATTCTCAGTCGGCCTCAAATTTGGGTCTTTTCATGTAAGCATGAGTGCTTTTTTCCGAAATCTATGCTCCTGCTGGTGAATATCGTACAATCGACGAAACATTCATGGAAAGATCAGACATAAGTCACCAACGTATGTGTGGCAAATCGTTATTACGTAGTTTTTATCACACAAAATCTCTGATTATCTTGTCACAAAAAGGCATATATTTTTGATTTAGCCTCCAGCAGGGACCTGAATTTAATCTTTGACGGTGACTGAACTTCTTTTCGTGAACTGCTGACTTCTGAATCTATTTGTTAACGCGGAAACTCATGTGTAAATGGCCGCATTAGAGAGTGCTATTTGATATTAGATAAAGCAATTCACCTGTTCAGTTTTCATCTCACCAAATAGATTTCTCACGGTTCGATGCGTCGTATTGGTAACTTTACGCCATATTGCACACTTGTATAGGATAAGACTGTCTTCAATACTGTTGACAGTCCGACATTCTTACAATTCCTTGATACATCGAAAAATGGCGGCAAAATATTTGTTTGGTTTTTCAGGTAATTTTGTTGAGTCACTTACAACGCATTAACTATGCCGGTGCTTAATATGCAGGCATGAAGATGTCCCAGTTACCACCGAACTTCCTGGAATCCAGATCACGTATTTACCTAGATTTCGCAATCAACCATGAACGCCTTGGCTGAGGACTGCAATCGAATGGTTTTTAGTAATGTTTACCGAAATGATAACATAAAGCAGTTTTAAATATAAAAAGTTTGAAGGAATTTACAGCAACGGTCGCCTCACGTTGGAGCTGCAGCAATTACATCCAAATGTAATTGAAAGGCACACAAAGACAGCGCCACGAAAAATGCGAATAAAGAGGCAAATGTAAAATGGCTTGTCTGCATTTTCTGACACTTAACCTCTTCTGGGATAAACAAAGCGAAATTAACGCCCTCATTAGGGTCTGCTTGTAAATGTGCCTCCTCTTGAGAACCAGGGCTTAAAACCATGTAAACGAAATTATCTGTTTGACCTAGCCCCACAGAAATTGACTTCTTGTAGCCTGAAACAAATTCTATTGAGCATATAATGCGTGTATACATATATATACATATAAGGTTAAAATTGTAGAAATTATGAAATGCAGCACACACAGTTAAGTACGGAAAATGCCTGCGTAAGGTCAGGTCCGAATGCCATGAAAATTTTAGTCGCGGCTAGGTCACTCAGCGGCAGAATGTCGGCTAAACACTAGCCTGGGCTTTTAGTTAGTAGATATATCTGGATTGCGGTATAACCATCTGCTACATAAGATCTTACTACTACTACTACTACTACTACTACTACTACTACTACTACTATTACTACTACTACTACTACTACTACTACTACCACTACTACTACCACTACTACTACTACTACTACTACTACTACTAATACTATTACTAAAACTACCTGTTTGTATGATGGAAATTACGCGGTTATTCTGCTGTAGTTGATTGACTATGACTCAAATTTTCATTGAAAGTTTGGGTCTGACTCTAAAAAGTCATGCCACGGAGACTTAACTCCATTTTCTGCACTTAATACTTACTGAAATCATTACCTTAGTTATTCTTTGGAGTTCGAATACCAGTACCCTCATGGTGAACGTCGGGAATCAACTGAGGAACCGAATCACTCGCAGCCGTGTCACGCAGCGACGGAATATCGACAAAACGTGTGTCTGGGCTGTTAGTTAATACCTATATCTGGAGTACAGTATGACCATTTGTCATATGTGTTTGTATGGCAGAGAGGCGCTCACCAATTTCGTTATGGAACTACGTCAACTTCTTCTGTCCTGGGGCTCTCTCTCTCAAGATCCCCAGCTGTTTCGCAACGGCGCATAATAGAAGCAGAAGAACCTTAGGGACAAAGACAAGGGAGACTGGAATAGCTATTTCTGTCTTACTGGCCCGAGCGTCCCATGATACAACGGGACGAATGAGATCCAGAACGCGATGGGCGGGCGTCCCTCTGCCAATAAATATACCCGATCGTAAATGATAGAACGACAAGCCCGTGGTTCAGTTGTTCGGGCATTGCATTTCTAACTTACAAGTCGCGGGATCGAGCCTTAGGTGTTGAACGTCTCGGGATTGGGTATGGCTGGCTGACGACGGCTAACAAGCCAAAAATGGACATTCCAGTCTCCCTTGTCTTCGCCGGCAATGCTATTCAGTATATGTACATATCAACAACGATGCGGTCAGATCGATATAGCACTGTTCGTGACTTTGATGCTTCATTCAGTCGATTTTAGATATAACCAATATCTGGGACTATAAGCATAAACATGCAAACACACACATGCACACACAAAAGTCCACACCACATATATGCGCCAAGAACAGGGTCCATCGAAGTGGCTATAAGTACATACTTGCATTTATGGGATAACTGCAAAAATGCAAAGCTTATTAAGCGTAATCGGGAGAGTAGGGCGTCTCCGTATGGCCTAAATTGTCTTTCTAACACTCCGTTTCTATTGTGGAAACTGAATGAGTAAACATAACTTGAGTGAAATTAAAGTGCTTTGTCGGGAGTGACTTTCAGTTAGACTAATAAGTTGTTTGTCTTGGAGCGTGGAAAATTCATGCGAACCGAGATGCCTGTCAATCGTGGTTTAGTGACTAGGCCTCTTGAAATTTATGTAAAACCAGGTCATCCGACAGTCACGCTTTTGAGAATGAAGTCGTGTGTGAGACGGATGAGGCGGCAATTTAGACGGACAGTTTGTCCTTATCTACCGGCATGTGAGCCTTCATGCTTCCTACTTTAAAATCGTTTGTCAGTTTCACCAATGTAATCTCCCTTGTCTGCTTTGGTATTCAGTCGAGCAAGTGACATAATATATTTGATCAGATGATAGTGGGCCCGTTGAATGCATGCACTTTTATGTCATGTTATCTTGCCCAATCTGCGTGTTACTCGAATCCCCAGTTAGAACATTGGTTTTTGCAAGTTCTTCGGTAAGATAGAAGTATATGATATTACGATCCAAAACGCCACCTAGGATTCGTTCTCGCGCTCCACTTGTTGGCTGCTCGTAGACGTTTCTAGAAAGAAACCCTTCCCTAGATATATTAGTTATCCTAATTTTTAGGTACTTATTTCAGTTTTTAAGTACGACGAAGGGACGTTTTTTGAAGCTGCGTTTGTGTGAATGGAATAATTGCTCTGACAGTTTTGAGTGCGGCGATATTGCTTGCCCTCCTGCAAACGTTTTTTAGTTCGCCACTCAATTTTCTGCTCACTAGCATGTTTTGGCATTACAAATCGTCGCCATTTTCCTCCTCCACTAGTAATTGCAAGTTTGAGAATTTTGAAGTATGTTATAGATTACCACTTGATGAAAACAAGAGTATCATTATCGTGATGAATCTGCAAGTTACCTTTAGGGTTTGAAGCCCAGCTTTCCCTGCTGGTGCAATAACGGCTGCAGGAGAATGAATAAGAGGAACAGTTGCACTTGAGAGTGGACCGGAGTAATAGCACGAAATCGGTCCGATGTGGATATGTAGACGTGCCCGAAATAAACAAATTCAGCCGTTTGTAATACTGGACCGGTGGTAATAGGGGTTTTTACAGGTGGGGTCGGGAACGCACAGGCGACAAGGTCAATTAATTTTATGAGAATGAAAAGCTATTGGGAATGCGCCGTTGTACTTTGAGTGGTTGATACATAGTTGTCCTAACCACTAACGCTAATCGGTAACCCTAATCCGTAACCCTACCCCTAACAGTATTGTGTCCATCAGGTGCGCCTGCATAACCAGATATTACCTTATTATCCTCTATGCATGCATATGGTCTGCCAGAAATATGCATAAAGGGATCCGTTAATCGACGGAACTGTCAAAGTTAGTAATACTTCAGCAGATTAACAAGCAAAAACAGTTCGTCTTAACTGTGTAGGTCCCTCACACTTAAAACGGCCGATCAGATACCACAAATATTTCTTTTGGAAGACATACTAGTATAGAATAATGTTTAAATAAAAGAATATTTTGCTCACATATTTAAGTCAAAATAATCTTCCATTAATTATTCGCTATTGAATGCTTCTTCTCGTGCAAGGCGACAATGGAAAAATACCAACAAAAACGGTTTTACTGACGTTTACCGAGATATGATTATTTTATAAATCGATAGTCTAAAATATAAAATATACTTCTGTTTGATGATATAAAGCTCATTCAGCAGTCCCGGCACTTCGGTTATCAATTTCCTATTTTAGCTATTTAATCAGTAATTCGAGGCCTATAACCTACTGATTATCAGCGAACATCTTTTAAAATAATCGTAGACAGCGCATTGTTGGAATTCATTATTTTGAAATAACATTACCTACTAAGAGTAGGGATTCATTCTAAAACTCATCATTTCGCAGATTGAAGACAGCGTCAACTGTTCTAAAGACTACTTGGAAATACGCGATGGACCTTCGGAAAATTCGAAATTGCTGCGAAGACTGTGCGGGTCTAAATTGCCAGAGCCAATAGTTTCAACTGGACAAACTATGTACATTCGATTTGTTAGTAACGGTCAACACGAAGGTCGAGGATTTTACGCAAATTTCCAGACAGGTAGGTGTTCGCAGCCTATGTCTTTGCGCAAAAATAGCATTTATTTCCCGTTCAACGGTTGTATATTTCAAGCAATGAAAACCAAAGCTTTTAGGATTTTTGCAGATTCGATGTTATCATCGAATTAAAGAAGTCGGGTCGCCATCCCCCTGACGGGGCAAGCTCTTTGAAGAGCGAAGCATCCCTTAGTGGCTACTTCTTTTATGAAACAACTTACTGGAAATACCTTCCAAAATGAAATAATTAATTACAAAAATAAGTATTTGCAACTAAAAATCTAAAAAACTGACCGTTTTACATTACGTTTTTGCTTTGTAGCAAATACATCCGTTCATTTAAGACGATACTTCAAGAATATTCAGTGGGATAAGAGTAAAAGAAGTTCAGTCACGTTAGGCCATTCCGAATATCTGAAATTTGAGTTGCGTCCAGTTCAATGAGAGTTCACTAATAGCCTCTCATTCGGCAGGGCATAAGGTCGAACTCGTAATATTTAAATCAAGTCTTCAGACGTATTTCACTCCTGAAGGATCAGCTTATTCAAAATCTCATTGTCCAGAGGCGCACTGCTCATTTTAACAACATAATCTTGTCAGGTGAATCCTGTGTGACGACGTTGTCTGCGAAAGCCCTCTTTTCTTGATTCCGTCTACCTAACTGGTGGCCAACGTTTGGTTTCCGTAATGTCTGCTTCAGATATCAACGAATGCGCCCTTACAAAACACAACTGTCAGCACTCCTGCGTCAACACGCTTGGAAATTACAAATGTGAATGTTATGATGGCTACGAACTTCAGCCGGACGGCCGGAGGTGCACACGTGAGTTGGCTACATTTGCTAAATGCTCCTTTTTGCGGTTAAGACCATAGATAGAAACTAAACAGCTTGGGGGACGGAGTATCTTTTTAAAAATGCATTTTCGATAAAAGACTGGTAATGGCTCTTAGGAGACCATACACTTAAGATTCTTATAGATATCCTAATCCACTTCTGAAGACTTGGGATCCGAACCCACACAACAAGGGCAGGGCTTGAGTATAGCCAACGCTTTGACTAGCTGAGCTATGTGGCCTCGTTGGGAGCTGTGTGTTTGGTCACATCTAGGCCAGGTTCACTGGGTTAAATGACTTATTTAAAATCTGCCGAAAGATTTGTTCCATACAGTTGCTTCTATCGACTTTACAGATATTTCAATTATGAATAGGTGGGGAAATAAGACTATCTCGGATCACAAACAATAATTAGATTGCTGAATTGGTACGTTTACAAGACTCGGCGGCAGCTATGAAACCATTATCGGTAGTTCAATAGGCACAATGAAAGATGGGGTATGCGGCACCATAATATGCGCTCCTTCCTTCTCAGGGATCCTTCTTACTGAATACCAGAGCGCAATACTAACATTCTTCCATTAAGCCATCAAAATTAATGTCCTTATCCTGGATTTTGTTTCGTTCACAAAAGCAAACCTCACAATCGGAATATTCTGCGCATTAGCGTATATTTCACACCGGCAAAGCCGCTATTTATCGCCGAACATATATGTACAATAATTTATTTTACCCAGTCCACTAGTATGATATTCATCGAAAACACATGAATCAGCTTGCGTCCTCTGCAATTTGGCGGTTAACTGTTTCTAACTATATTACCAGAGAAAACAGAAAGCTTTTGCCACAGTAAACATAGCATCACCGTCCAACACGGGTGATGAAATTGTAATGAAATGCGACTTGCATGGCGACCACTAGGCAATCATTGCACCATGGGAAACCATCCGCGATGGAAGAGGAGGTAGCCGTTAATTTTCATGGGTATACAGTAGCACATTGACTGCATCTTATAAATACAACAATCCCTTTTGCATGGCCTGCCGTATCTGGTATTGCCTCTGAGAATGGGTCTAAGCATTATTTCGAGACGCCAAACGGCTAAGGCTCTTATTCCGACTTTGTCGTCTGTTCTTCTTGACCGCTCCCTTAGACTTGCACTTTCGCTTGTATCGACTAATCTCCATCATGGCAATTTAGTCTGATAATTTTATTGGGTGTGTGTTTTGGGATCAAATAGATTTCAAAAACACTTCACTCCTTGCGTGCCTAAGAAGCCCCTCTGTTGCTGCCGCTGACGTTTTGTTAGAGTGGAATGCAGTTTGTCAGGCGAACAGATATAACTGCCACCCCGAAAAACGCTTTTCCTTCTAAGTGCTGTGTGACCCATATTCTTGCTCCCATCTGCAAGCTGTATTTGTTATAGTCAGCGAAAAAAGACAGATTTGCGGCGGCTCCCGACTATCGCCATAGTTATCGTGCGAACGGGACACCGACAAACAGGATTCATGTATCTTTTAGAGCGTTGTTTCCCCGAGACCTAAAATATCCACTCACGGGTTCTCGATGAGCGACGATGTTTTGGATAATATTTTTCTCTTTCACCGTCAGCATGTTTATGATATACTGAAACATATGTATTTCATTCGCCCATAATTGGGCCATAAAAAGTCACATAGTACTAGCACTCAACTAAAAAAAACCGAAAAACCGCTGGCTACCGGGTTTATGTATCCTGAGGACTTATACAACTTATAACAGTGTAGACGTTTTTTTCGCCGCCTTTGACGGCAAAGTCGTTCAAAAAAACTGCCGTTTGTTCAATTTTGTTTGTTCACTTCAGCTCAATGGGCCTCTATTGGTTTCTTTGGATTAAAATTAAATTAATCGCTTAGTTTGCCTCAAATTTTTCCGACAGAGTAGCTCAGATTGCCGATGGACAAAAGCGCATTCTGTACGAAATGCCCTAAGTAGGTCGTCGCGTAGTAATTGAACGCTAAAGTCGTACAGGCTGCCCGCCTAGGCACATGCTAATTCTAGAGACATCATTTACGAGATAATCCAGTATCAGCAGTGAAGCCTGTCTAAAGCCGTCCCTTGACTTCGGAACCCGCGGACTCGCAGATGAATGGCTTTGGACAAGCTTGTCTTTCATGTTGTTCGAGTGCCCGCATACGTCACAGGATTATTTATGTAGTAGTTGTACCACATAAGTTGCTATTCCTGTTGTTGGGGTACATAGTGATTGCATGGCACCCCTGCTCGTGGTTCATGACTTACTTTAAGGCCACACTCGTAAGGAAACCTTCGAGCGCCGTTTGTTGTCCCCGCACTTTAACGGTGGGTTAGTTTTGTCATTCGACGTTTCATTCATGATTTTTCAGAGGAAACTGTCAATGTCTAGAGGGAATTCACAGTTGTGGTTAGCTGCAAGCTTACACTCATACATGCTCGTAGTTCATGACTTACTTTAAGGCCCCACTCGTAAGGAAACCTTCGAGCGTCGTTTGTTGTCCCCGCACTTTAACTGTGGGTAAGTTTTGTCATTCGACGTTTCATTCATGATTTTTCAGAGGAAACTGTCAATGTCTAGAGGGAATTCACAGTTGCGGTTAGCTGCAAGCTTACACTCATACATGCGCTGTTGCCAGCAGCAAATTATATTTGGCGCAACAATTTCGCTGCTGAGTGCTACGTAAATGGACTTAACACCCCGTTAACACCAATTGGTTTGCGGCAAACTACTTGCGATTAATGTCATTTCCGAAGGACTTTGAGGTACTCGTTATAAAATACACGCTAATTAAATTTGAGCGTTCAGAAATACGTTACTATCTGTCTTCATTGTGAGGAATGTGTTGACAAATTGTCTTGCACAAAACCTAACAATCACAATTGAAATTAAATCACGAGGCATTTACTCAGTAGTTAGAGATATTAAGGTCCCTAGGTTTTAGTCCCTCTTCTCCAAGTACACAAATACATGTGATTAACTACGAGCATGTCTTTCCTAATTGTCAGCAAAACAATTGTCAAGTGACTGTGGAGGCGTTAGAAACCAAACCTATGGAGGCATACACAGCCCTGGTTACCCAGCTAAATATCCACCGAACAAATACTGCAAATGGACGATCATCGCCCCTCCACAATGGGTTATCTTCTTCAAATTCATCAGCTTTGACCTCCAAGATGACAGTGTAAGCATCTTTGTCATCTTAGTTAGGTGTATTTAGTAAGACTTGAGATTATTCGGTCGGTCTTCTCGTCCGAGGTCAAATTTGACGTAGGTCACGAGCCTACGGCGTGGTTCTTAACTGTTTCTAATTTCCAAAAAGCTCATTTACAAGAGATAACACCTCTATTTGGACGATTTCCCTATTCACTCCCTTAAGTGCCCGCAATAATAAACTCCACAAAAAGAGATGGACGCTAGAATGTATACCCTGTCGACTGGGTACTTATGTCGACATACGAACAGCTAAAGTGGTCAGGATCGGTCCTCACTGCTGTTTCCATACTTTGTGCTTGAAGACAACACGTGCTTACATCGCAAACGCTTTGATGATGGCACAGCTATGTTTTCATGTGCATTAGTTTTTTTAATGAAACCAAAGGGACAAGTGGAGCAGGTTAAAAAGTCAGCTAGTAATGTACGCATTCGAATGTTTTCTCAAGCCACATTTTGGACATGAGAAGGAAGCCACAGGACACACA